CTTTTAACAGCCATGAGGTGGGCTTTTAACAGCCATGAGGACAGCTGCCGTGGGCCGCGTCCCCCGTGTTTCAGATAGAAGAGTTCCCCACTGTGCCCTCAGAGGCGAGCCTGGGTCTCATTTTGGTCCAGATCTCCTGATTTGACAGATGAAGTGATCGAGGCCCACGTCCCACTGTGAGGGACAGCGCATGCCTGGGAGCATTGACTTGCCCTCCCACGTGGCTTCTTAGCCCTCCTGGCCCCTCTGCCTCCGTCCTCACCCCTCCTCTGCCCCAGGCCTCCCCTCTCCTCTGCCCTAGCCCCCCGTCCAGGGTGTTCTCTCCAGGGAGGTTTGGTGGGATGGACAGGTGGCTTGGCTGGGGTGATGGCTGCCTGACGGCCAGGGGTTTGGTGCCCTCTTGAGCAGTAGGGCCCTTCTGCTGTCTCTGGCAGGTGGAAAACGAGTCCAATGTGCTCCAGGACGGCTCCCTCATCGACCTGTGTGGGGCCACTCTGCTGTGGCGTACACCCGCGGGGCTGCTGAGGGCACCCACGCTGAAGCAGCTGGAGGCCCAGCGGCAGGAGGCGAACGCGGCCCGGCCCCAGTGCCCTGTGGGCCTCAGCACCCTGGCCTTCCCCAGTCCGGCCCGGGGCCGCACGGCGCCCGACAAGCAGCAACCCTGGGTCTATGTCCGGTGTGGCCACGTCCACGGCTACCACGGCTGGGGCTGCAGGAGAGAGCGGGGCCCCCAGGAGCGAGAGTGTCCTCTCTGTCGCCTCGTGGGGCCCTATGTCCCCCTGTGGCTTGGCCAGGAGGCCGGCCTCTGTCTGGACCCTGGGCCACCCAGCCATGCCTTTGCACCCTGCGGCCACGTCTGTTCTGAGAAGACTGCGCGCTACTGGGCCCAGACACCACTGCCCCATGGCACCCACGCTTTCCACGCTGCCTGCCCCTTTTGTGGCGCCTGGCTCACCGGCGAGCATGGCTGCGTCCGCCTCATTTTCCAGGGACCGCTGGACTAGGCTCCGCCAGGCCCCGGCTGCCATGCGCGCCTGCCCACCTAGGTCCCCCACCTCCTGCAGCCCAGAGGGAGCTCTGCATGTGGGACTCTACCCGCTGGTGCATAGCCACACCAGATGGACGTGTTGGATGGGCTGTGCTCCTCCCCTCTTAACTCTGGTCCCTGAAACCCCTACCCCAGTCAGAATGACGGGGCCCTCAGCACCAGCTCTGTCCTGGGCTGATGGAGGGAAGCCCACCCCTATGCCCTGGCCCTTCCTGGGGTGTCCCACGTCATGCCGCCTACACTGTGTCCCTGGGGGAGTGAAGGGGCCATGGGTCCCTGACCCCCAGCTTAGGCTGGCTGTGCCCTGAGCCTGCCGACCCAGCTCCAGATATTCACCCTGCTGCTGCCCTGGGTTCCTCTATAAACCTTGCTGCTCAGCTGCCCTCACAAATCCCACGTGTCCAGCATGCATGCAGTGCTGCCAGCCCCCGCATGAGTGACGGGTGGGCAGCAGGCTGGGGCCGGCATCTGCTGATACCCACTATGGGCTGGACTCCGTGCCAAGTGGGCTCTGGAAACACAGAGACGATCAGACTTGGTTCCCTGCCCGGTGGAATTCACAGTCTAGCGGACGACAGACCAAATTGCCGGACGACAACACAGTTTCCTGCGTACCAGCAGCAGAGAGTCATCAAGGGCTGTGGAGCAGGTCTCCCAAGCGGGCGGGAGAGTGAGGGGGGCTCGCGTGGGAACTCCCCACCGAAGGGGATGGCGCTCTGGGCAGGGGGGAGGCTGAGCACGGGCTCAGGTGTGAGGAAGCAGGGACCTGAGTGAGGGGTTGAGCGGCTGGAGCAGAGGCAGTCGTGGGGGCAGAAAGAAGGCTGGAGCAAGAGGTTACGGGCTGCGCTGACGCTGACGGGGAAGATGCTGGATGGAGGCTTTGGAACCTCGCTTGTGGACAGTCAGGAGCGGAGGGAGGAGAGAGGACTCGCGCTCCCAGAGTGCTGGCTGTGACGGAAGGGCACTATTATCAAGTGCCCACCATGCCCTGCGCGGTGCTACTTCTGCTCATAACTACGTTAATGGAGCATGAACCAGGAGGCTTTGCTGTTTAATCCTCACAGTAACCCCGGGGAGGGGGAGGTGTTACCATTTCTGTTTACGGGGAGATTAAGGCACATGCGCCAAGTCACACAGCTAGAAAGTGGCCAAGCTGGGATTCAAACCCGTGACTGCCTGCCTGGCCTCAGCCTGACCGCCTCCATCACACCGTGCTGCTTTCCTTGGACGGGGGGGGGGGGGGGGGGGGGGAGAAAGGGGAGGGCAGCTCAGGTCACCGGAACTGCATGTGCAAACATGTGGCAGGGACCATGCTTGACCGACCAAGGGGCCAGGTCTGGAGCAGCAGAAAAGAGACATGGGGGGTGAGGACACTGGGCTGAGGCCTGATGGCCCTTGGTTGCCATGGAGACCAAGTCCGAACTGGACCCTTACTCATCTTGGCTAAGTGGCACGTCTCTCTGAGAGCCAAGGCAGGCTCACTGTGCTGCTGGGGTTGCTTGCAGACCATTCCTGGGGGGAGCAAGCTAGGGAGACCAGCAGATGGAGGTTCTGGAGTATAAAAAATTTCTGAAAATGAGGCTTCTAAGTACAGGCCTGACCTGGGCATCATCCCCAGTTGAAGACAGCCGCTAGAGCCTTAGGGAGTATAGATTCCAAGGGGAGGGCCTGCTGCAGGTCACACAGGTGGTAGGGGCCACAGAGACCAGACCCAGGGCTCTCGATAGGACAGAGGGCTCCTGTGGGTGGTGAAAAGGGGATGTGATGAGATTCCTGCTCCTGGAGCATCACATGCCACAGTGGGGGAGCCAAGATGGGGCTGCCTGATCAGGCAGATGTGAGAATACTGCAGCCCCCCCCCCCCCCCCCCGCACATACCACTGGGAATCCAGTTCTCTCTTCTGACCCTGTTGGGAGCCAGGTAGGGGATGTTCCGCTTCTGTTTCCAGCAAGGAGAGGAAGGAGGAGAGACAAGCAAAGAGCATGGTACCACCCCAGGGAGAACTTGGAGGTAGTGGTGGAGGGTAAGACAGCCCTGATCTTGGCCCACCTCTGCCCCTTTCCAGCTCTTGGAGCCTCAGTCTCCTCACCTGTTAAATGGAATAGCAATTCTTATATCACCAGATGGCTGTGAATGTACTGAGAGCCCTGTAATACAGTAGGTATTTAATGTTACTTCCTCACCTTCCCTTCCTGCATTTCCATAGGGAAGAACCAAGGCTAGGGATGGTCGTGACTCCAGTGAGTAGACTTCGTATGATTATATGCGTGTGTGCGCTGGGGCCAGTGGAGGGGACAGTGTGGTGGAAGTTCTCAGGAAGGCTAGATCCCGGCTCAGGGACACCTGAGGATAGCCTGGGTGTCCTAGGGAAGTCAATGAACCTATTAGCCTCAGTTTCCCCATCTCCTACAATGGGTAAAGTGATGATATCCTATCAGGGTTGTTACAAGAATGAAATATCCTCCATGTCAAGCTGTTAACACAGGACCTCGTGTATTAACTGTGAACATAAAAACGCTGCTTGTTTGAGAATGCCAGGAATACTGGGATCTTTTACTAGCCTGAGCTGCCCATTGGTGGCTAGAGAGCACTACCTCCTTTGCTGGTGCCCATCTCAAATTCACCCAAGTCAGGGGAGTATACCCATTTTAAAGACAATAAAAATGGAAGCACAGGAAGAAGAGGTGGGACTTTCCTAAGGACACAGAGAATTTATTGAGCTTGAGCTCCTCCCTGTGATGATAATGGTCACTAGAGCCAACAGCAGCACTGTTGTGTCAAGCAGGCCTTTGGGCACTTTCATAAATGAGAAACTGGCATCAATGGTGGGCAGATGCTGCTGTGAGCCCAGACACAGGTGTGGCAAAGGTAGGGCAAGGAGAGTGTGTGGATTTCAGGTATTCCCTTTCTCCAGCCCCTCTGGGCATAACACTAGGGAGCAGACTGCCCAGTCATCAGTTCACTCAGGGCTACAGCATCCTTCGGAGTGGAGACAATTGTTAGCTGGGTTTTCTGGCTGAGGAAAACTCAGAGAGGTAAAGTGTCCCACCCAAGGCCATACAGCCAGTAGATGATGGGGGCCTGATTGGACCTTAGATGGCCTGCCTCTGCCCACGCTGACCCAGGCCCCTCTCAATGCTCCCCACTGAGCCCAGGCCTGGTGCCAGCACTTGGACATGCCATGCCCAACCCAGGTCGTCCTCTTGTGAGTCCATCCAGACGTGCAAAGGTGGACCTCAGGCCCAGCTCTGTCCTGGGCAGCCTTTTGGGGTCACAGGCAGCTCTCCCTTCCATCAGGCATCGGGCAAGCACCAACCAACTCCAGGCCCCTCGTCCCTTTGTGCTGAGGAAACTGAGGCTCAGAGATGTTTAGCGGCTGCCTTCCAAGCCCCCGCGAATCGATGGCGGGGCAGTGAAGCGCTTGTCCCCGCACGGGGGTGATCGCCTCAGCTCAGGCCCGGCAGCTGGCCTTGTAGGTTCGCAGTGTCCTAAGAGTCTCCACCCCTAACCCTCGAATCCAGTGAGGGAGAGGGAGTCACATCACTTCCAGAGCGCAGGTTCCCACCTGCAAAACTGAGGTCCGGGACCCAAAGGAGAGCGGCGCTGGGGCTCTGTGGGGGGGTCCCTGCCGGTCCGTACCTGACACCCATGCCGCCCCGCACGGACTCGAAGGGACCCTGTCAGCCCGGTCTGCCGGGACTGGGCCGCGCCCAGGCCGGCCACTCGGTTTCCCGGCCGCCGAGCCTGCACCCTCGCGGACAAAGGCTAAGGCCGCAGGGGCCGTCCCGCCGGCGGCCCAGTAGGGCCCGGGAGCGGGGAGCCGCGGGCCGGCGGAGCGCGCCGTGGTGCGCCTATTGGCTGGAGCTGACGCCCATCCGGGCCCCGAAGCCCGGCAATTGGCCGCGGGGGGCGGAGTTCGTGGAGCCCCAATGAATGGGGGAGCCGGAAGCAGGAAGTGAGTTTGCGATGAGAGCAGCTGCTGCAGGTGAGGAGCGGCGCCCGGGTTTCGGGGTCACAATGCGTCATCCTCGGGGGACAGGGCGAGTCTGGACCGAACGCAAGATTATTCTGTTTCTGCCTTTCTTCCAGTACCCCTTCCACATTCATCGCGGCCCCGAGGCCAAGGAACCCTCCCGGGCAGCAAAGAGTTAACCCCGAGGGTTGTGCTACTGGGGCGGAGCATCCGGAGTGGTGGGGGAGGCTGGACACTCTTTCGGGTTAAGGGAGGGCGGTGTGGAAAATGCGCTGGGTTGGGAGATCCCGGGTCCCAGCGGAACTGTGAGACTTCGGTAAGTTTCGTGGCCTCTCTAAGCCTCAGTCTCTCTGTCTGTAAAATGAGTTTTCTTCCAGCTCCGAACTAATGTGGCTCTGTAGCTCCCCTGGCGAAGCACAGGGAGACAGACGGTGGGAGGATGGAGGGCCAAAGGAAAGGCATTTAGAAGGATGAGAGTGAGACAGATTGCACACCCTCCTGATGAGGTTGGCCTTATTATCACCCCCATTTTACAGAGGTGGAAACTGAGGCACAGAAAAGTGAAACAACTGACTTGGTTTTAGGAGTCTAGGGTTGAACCAGGTTTGGAACCTGGGTCTTCCAGCTGGTAGCCTGGAACTCTATCCTTGTGAACGCAGTGGTGGGTGGAATTGAAGAACTTACAGGAGAATTCTGAAGAGGAGGTTAGGAAGTCAGAGAAAGAGAAGGGGAGCCTGAAGGGCCTGGGCTGGGAGTCTAGAGATGCAGGTCTCTGCTTCTGTCCTCTCCCTTGTGTTAGTAGGCAAAGCTCCTAGCCTCTCTGGGACTCAGTTTCCCTATCTGTAATACTAGGTAGTTGAATTCAATCTTTAAGGTTGAGGGGCCCCAGGCCAAATATGACCCACCAGTGTATTTTGTAATATCTTCGCATGAGTCACCTAACCTCTGAGCCTCAGTTAGCATATCTGTGAATGGGTTTGGGGGAGGATTAAATGAGACCATGAGAGTGCTTAGCTAGGTGTGTAGTTGGTGTGTGGTAAATGACAGCTGTGATGATGGTGATGGTTCTCAGCAGGGCCCATGGCGGACGCCCAGTACATCCTGCCCAATGACATCGGTGTGTTTAGCCTGGACTGCCGGGAGGCCTTCCGTCTGCTGTCACCCACAGAGCGCCTCTATGCCCACCATCTGTCACGGGCTGCCTGGTATGGAGGCCTGGCTGTGCTGTTGCAGACCTCCCCTGAGGCCCCCTACATCTATGCGCTGCTCAGCCGCCTCTTCCGTGCCCAGGACCCCGACCAGCTGCGCCAGCATGCCCTGGCTGAGGGCCTTACCGAGGAGGAGTATCAGGTCAGTTCTTTTAGGTCATCTGGCATTTCCTGAGTGGCTTCTGGGTATGAGGGACCACAAGCAGAGGTACAAAGGTCTTTCTCTGTAGATTAGACCAAGGGCTACAAATACAGGAACCTCTCCTGGAGCCTCAGTCTTCTCATCTAGAAAATGTGCATGAGGGTCTGTACCTCCTAGGGTTGCAGTGACCTGACTCCAAGATAAATGGTGGCCACTGTGAGTAAAGGAAACAGCTATGGACACTCAGAGATGGTAGAGGAGTGAGTCCAGGGTAGGAATCAGGAGGTCTGAGATCCGAACCAGATCTTTCTCTGGCATGTGTGGGTCCCTGCCTGTCCCCTGGCTTTTGTTTGTTTGTGGGTCTGTTGGCCAAGTAATATTTAGATGTATTTGTAGTGCATTGCCGCAATGCAGAAAGGCACAAAATGAAACACGAATGTTGGATGGTGGGGTGTACAGCCTTTTGAGTCCTCTATCTGTGTATTGCGTTCCTACACATGTACATGCACACGTGCACTGGTTCCTCATTTTGTCTTTTATGTAAATGAGATCATGCTCTCCATGTTCTTAGGAGTTCTGCTTTTTTCTTTCTTTTTTTTTTTTTAATTGAACACCACGTCTTGGAGAACTTCCACGGGGTACATATAAATCCAGTTCATCCTTTTTGTTGACCGTGAAGCACTCCACTGTAGTGTATACCATAATCAATTTAATCTTTTCCTTATTGTTGGACATTTGGATTGTTCTTGATTCTTCCTAGAAATAGTGCCACAGTGAGCATACTTGTGCCCCTGTGTGAGTAGGATCTATTTCTAGAAGTAGCATTGTTGGATCAAAGGCTCTGTACGTTTACAAGTGATTGATGTTGTTAAACCATCTTTACAAAAGTTTTCACCAAGAATGTATGAGAAAATGGCCTGTGTTTCTACATGTAAAATAAAGGGATTGGATTGCTTATCTCTGAGCTGAGGCCCAGGCTGTTTCTTCTCCCTTTCTTTAACTTAGTAATCACATCCCATTTCTAGACCTTGACTTACTCATTAAAAGAGTTAATGGCTGGGGAAAGTGCAAGCTAAGTATTACTGTTCTCAGTGGGATACTTTTGCTTGCAAATAGCAGAAATCCACCTCAAATTGGCTTAAGTGAAAATGAAAATCATGACTTCCAGTTTCTAGTCCAGCATGTAAGTAGCTTATAAGTCACCAGTCTGTCCTAGCAAGTAAAATGTGGAACTAACTGGAAAAATCAATAACGTTTCTTATGTCCTTAAGAGAAGTGAGGGCACAGGGCTAACTGCTGTCCCCAAATTGGAGAGACAGACAGGTGGGTACAGAGAATCACAACTCACCAGCGTAAAAATTCATGAACAGAAGCCTCCCCCAGAGCTGGTGCTGGAGTCGGAAAACCTGAACTGTGATTGACAAATCACTGGAGGCTCAGTGTGGACAGCTCTGAGAGTTAAAAACTCCAGGAGGACCCACGCGGAGGAGGGGCCTCCACACTTTTGGGAATTTGGGGAGTTTTACCTCCAGGATCTTGGTCCTCACAATGAATTTCAGAGAAAAAGCCCCTTGTGCTTCTGGCAGGGGGAGGGGAAAGGGAATCATTTTTGAAAAAATGCCAGAACATTCTGTTCTTCACAGTTTGCTCTCAGGAGAAACTATATCTCTAGAACCTAGCCTGCTAGGGTTTTATCAGAGCCTAACTGACCTGGGTGGAGGAAAATATCCCATTCCAGACAGTTCTTGTCATCCTGTCCCACCTAAGGGGGAGGGTGGGGACGCGGGACTGAGAAGCACATGTAAAGTTCAGTGAGGTAAAAGCTCACTGAAAGACTGCTGAGACCTAATTGTGGGACTGGAGAATGCTTCTCCTGCTTCCACACCTTACCATCGCATTACTAAAGGCCTATTTACAGCAGTTCCTTTTACCCAGTCCATCATGTCTGGCTATCAAGAAAAAATGACAAAACATACTAAAGGCAAAAAACGCAGTTCGAAGAGACAGAGAAAGTACCCGAAGCAGATTCCGACATGGCAGGGATGTTGGACTTACCAGACCAGGAGTTAAAACAACTGTGGCTGATATGCTAAGGGCTCTAATGGATAAAGCAGACAACATGCAAGAACAGATGGGCAGAGAGATGGAAATCCTAAGAAAGAACCCAAACACTAGAAGTCAGAAGACACAGAAATGAAGAATGCCTTTGCTGGGCTTACTAATAGTCTCTGTTAGTAGACTTGACACAGCTGAGGAATGACTCACTGAGCTTGAGGCTATCCCAATAGAAATCTTAAGAACTGACCAGCAGAGAGAAAAGACTGAAAAACACAGAACGGAGTATCTAAGAACTGTAGGGCAACCACAGGAGGTATAACGAATATGTAATGGGAATACCAGAAGAGGAAGAAAGAGAAAACAAAGAAATATCTGAAACAATAATGATTGAGAATTTCCCCAAATTAATGTCATAATAAACCATGGATCCATGAAGCTCAGCGAACACTAAGTGGAATATTAAATGCCAAAAAAACTACAGAAAATCAAAGTAAAAGTCCTAGAAGAAGAAGCTGGAGGAAAAATGGATCCTACCTTTAGAGGAGCAAAGATAAGAATTGCATCCAACTCCTCAGAAACCACACAAGCAAGAAAAGAGTAGATTGAAGTATTTGAAGTGTTAATACAAAAAGCCACCAGCCTAGGATTCTGTACCTTGTGAGATTATCCTTCAAAAGTGAAGGAAAAACAGATTTTGTCAGACAAACAAAAATTGAGGTCATGTATTGCCGGTGGACCTGCTTTGCAAGAAAGGTCAAAAGTTCTTCAGGAAAAAGAAAAATGATAGAGGTCTGAAACTGAAATCTACGTAAGAAAGGGAGTGCATTGGAGAAGGAAAAACTGAAGGTAAAAAAAAAACGTACTTTTTTTTTTTTATTCTTAATCTAAGAGACAACCATTTGTTCAAAATAATAGGAACAGGATATTTGATTATGCATGCTTATGTTTATCTACATTATATGTAATTTACATATTTATACCTATATAAAACTTATGTGTGCTTTTATATAGGTGAAATAAATGACAGCAGTGATGCAAGGGAGAGGAGACAGGAATTAGAATTACTTTGTTATTATAAGGTTATTATAAGGTATCATGCTATCCATGGGGCAACATAGTGTTATATGAAAGTGGACTTGGATTAGTTATAAAGGCATATTGCAAAATCTAGGGCAACACTAAAAAGTAAAAAAGTATAACTGATAAGCTAAGAAAAGAGAGGAAATGGACTCATGTAAAAGGCTGAGTTAAAACTACAAAAGGCAGAAAAAGAATGGAAGACAAAAGTAGGAACAAAGAACAAGGACAACAAATAGAAAACAGTAACAAATATGGTAGATACTAATCCAACCATATCAGTGATCACTGTGAATGACAGTGGTCTAAATGTACCAGTTAAAAGACAGAGATTGGGGTGCCTGGGTGGCTCAGTCGTTAAGCATCTGCCTTCGGCTCGGGTAGTGATCCCAGGGTCCTGGGATAGAGCCCCACATCGGGCTCCCTACTCAGCAGGAAGCCTGCTTCTCCTTCTCCCACTCCCCCTGCTTGTGTTCCCTCTCTCGCTGTGTCTCTCTCTGTCAAATAAATAAATAAAATCTTAAAAAAATAAAATAAACAACACACTTCTAAATAATACGTGGGTCAAAGAAGAAATCTCAAGAGAAATTTTAAAATATTTTGAACTAAGGGGCGCCTGAGTGGCTCAGTCAGTGAAGTGGCTGACTTTTTTTTTTTTTTTAAGATTTTATTTATTTATTTATTTGACAGAGAGAGAGTGAGCACAAGCAGGGGGAGCAGCAGAGGGAGACTGCTCGATCTCAACTCAGGTCTTGATCTTAGGGTTGTGAGTTCAAGTCCTGCATTGATGGCCCAGTGTGGAGACTACTTAAAAATATATGTATTTTTTTACAGGCACCTGAGTGGCACAGTCAGTTAAGCATCCAACTCTTGGTTTTGGCTCAGGTTGGGATCTCAGGGTTGTGAGATTGAGCCCCATGTTGGGCTCTGGGCTCAGCACAGAATCTGCTTAAGACTCCCTCTCCCTCTCCCTCTGCCTCCCCCACCCCCATGCATATATATATGTATATATTGAACTAAAATGAAAACAAATTATCAAAATTTGTGGGATGCAGCAAAAGCAATGCTTAGAGGAAAATTTATAGCATTGAAGCATATATTAGAAAAGAAGAAAGATCTAAAATCAATCGTCTGTTTCCATCTTAGGAAAAAAAAAAAAGAGCAAATTAAATCCAAAGTAGCAGAAGAAATAAAAAGAATTAGAGCAGAAATCAATAAAATTGAAAACAGGAAATCAGTAGGGAAACTTAATGAAACCAAAAGCTGGTTCTTTGAAAAGATCAGCAAAATTGATGTCTTAGTCTTTTGGGGCTGCTATAAGAAAATACCACTGAGGGGCTTATAAACAGAAATTTATTTCTCATATGAAAGTCCAAGTTCAGGGTGCCAGCTCGGTCAAGTTTTGGTGAAAGCCCTCTTCCGATTTGCACACTGCTGACTTCACTGTGTCCTATCATGGTGGAATGGATGAACTAGCTCTTTGGTGTCTCTTGTAAGGGCACTAATTCCAATGATGAGGGCTCTTGCCTCATGACCTAACCACCTCCCAAGGGCCCCACCTTCTAATACCATCACTTTGGGGGTTAGAGTTCAATGTATGAATTGGGATGGGGGACACAAACATTTAGACCACAACGATTCATAAGCCTCTGACCAGTTTAAGGGAATAAAAGAGAAATCATAAACTATTAATATCAGAAATGAAAGATGAAACATCACTATAAATCCCATGGGCCTTAAGGAAATTGAATCGATAATTAATAATCTTCTTAAACAGAAAACACCAGGCTCACATGGGTTCACTGGTGAATTATACCAAAACATTTAAGGACAACATTATACAGTTCTCTATAATCTCTTTCAAAAAGAGAGGAACAGAGGGAATCCTTCCTAATTAATTCTATGAGGCCAACATTATCCTAACACCAAAACCAAACTAAGGCATTACAAGAAAAGAAAACTACAGACCATTATTTCTCATTTACATAGATGCAAAAATCCTCAGCAAAACATTAGCAAATCAAATCCAACAATGTATAAAAAACCAATGACCAAGTAGGATTTATCCTGGGTGTGCAAATCTGGTTCAACATTTGGAAATAAATAATTCATCACATCAACAAGCTAAAGGAGAAAACCACATGATCATATCAATAGATGCAGAAAAAGCATTTGATAAAATTCAGCACCCATTCATGATAAAACTAAGTAAATTAGGAATAGAGAGGAGCTTCCTCAACTTGATAAAGATAAAGCCTATCTACAAAAGCCCTACAGCTAACATCATATTTAATGGTGAAAAGCTCAAAGCTTTCCCACTAAGATCAGGAACAAGGCATGCAAGTCCCCTCACCACTGTTTTTCAGCATTGTACCAGAAGTCCTAGCTAATGCAGTAAGTCAAGAACAGGAAATAAAACGTATGCAGATTAAGAAGGGAGACACAAAACTGTCTTTGTTCGCAGAAAATATGATTGACCATCTATGTACAAAATGCAAAAGAACTGACCAAAAAATTCCTGGGACTCATAAGCGATTATAGCAAGGTTGCAGGGTACAAAGTTAATATGAAAAAGTCAGGGGATGCCTGGGTGGCTCAGCCAGTTAAGTGTCTGCCTTCAGCTCAGGTCATGATCCCAGGGTCCTGGGATTGAGTCCCACATTGGGCTCCTTGCTCAGCAGGGAGCCTGCTTCTCCTTCTGCCTGCCTTTCTCCCTGCTTGTGCTCTCTCACCCCCTTTGACAAATAAAGAAAAATTTTAAATATATATATATATATATGTATATATATATAGATAGATAGATAGATAGATAGATATGTCAGTTGCTTTTAATATACCAGAAAGGAACCATAAGAATTTGAAATTAAGGGGCACCTGGGTGGCTCAGTCATTAAGCATCTGCCTTTGGCTCAGGTCATGATCCCAGGGTCCTGGGATCGAGCCCCGCATTGGGCTCCCTGCTCCGTGGGAAGCCTGCTTCTCCCTCTCCCACTCCCCCTGCTTGTGTTCCCTCTCTCGCTGTGTCTCTCTCTGTCAAATAAATAGATAAAATCTTAAAAAAAAATTATAAAAAAAAGAATTTGAAATTAAAACCATAATACCATTTCTAAATAGCACACAAGAAAGTGAAATATGTAGTTTAAAAATACAACAAAACTTGTACAAAGCTTAAATGAGGAAAACTACAAACCTGATGAAAGATACCAAAGAACTAAATAAATAAATAAAGACACCAAAGAACTAAATAAATAGTCCATGTTCATGAATAGGAAGATTCTGTATTGTCAGGATGTCAGTTCTTGGGGCGCCTGGGTGGCTCAGTTGGTTAAGCGTCTGCCTTTGGCTCAGGTCATGATCCCAGGGTCCTGGGATCAAGCCCCATGTTGGGCTCCCTGCTCAGTGGGGAATCTGCTTCTCCCTCTTCCCCTCACTCTGCTTGTGCTCTCACTCTCTCCAATAAATAAATAAAATCTTAAAAAAAAAAAGATGTCAGTTCTTCCCAACTCTATCTATAGATTTGATGCAATGTGATTAAAAATCCCAGCAAGTTAGGGTGCCTGGGTGGCTCAGATGGTTAAGCGTCTGCCTTCAACTCAGGTCATGATCCCAGGGTCCTGGGATCGAGTCCCACATCGGGCTCCCGGCTCAGCGGGGAGCCTGCTTCTCCCTCTGACCCTCTCCCCTCTCATGCTGTTTCCCTCTCGCTCGCTCTCTAAAAAATAAATAAAATCTTTAAAAAAAAAAAAATCCCAGCAAGTTATTTTATTTTCAACACAATATTGGGGAAAGAGTGAAGAAGAAGAACCAAGTTGGAGGATCAGCACCACTCAACTTTAAGACTTACTCTAAAGCTACAGTAATCAAGATAGTGTGGTGTTGGCAAAAGGGCAGACAAATAGATCAATGCAATAGAATAAAGAGCCCAGGGGCGCCTGGGTGGCTCAGTTGGTTAAGCTACTGCCTTCGGCTCAGGTCATGATCCTGGAGTCCCTGGATCGAGTCCCGCATCGGGCTCCCTGCTCGGCAGGGAGTCTGCTTCTCCTTCTGACCCTCCCCCCTCTCATGTGCTCTCTCTCATTCTCTCTCTCTCAAATAAATAAATAAAAATCTTTAAAAAAAAAAAAAGGAATAAAGAGCCCAGAAATAGACCCCCATAAATACAGTCAACTGATATTTGACAAAGGAGCAAAGCAACACAATGGAGTAAAAATAATCTTTTCAGCAAATGGTTCTGGAACACCTGGACATCCACATGCAAAAAAAAGAAAAGAAAGAAAGAGAATCTAGACCAGACATGGACCTTACATCTTTCACAAAAGTTAATTCAAAGTGGATCACAGATTTAAATGTTAAATACAAAACTGTAAAACTCCCAGAAGATAACATAGAAAATCTAGATGACCTTGGGTATGGGGATGATTTTTTATGATACAACACCAAGTATGATCTGTAAAGAAATAGTTGATAAGCTGGGCTTCAATATAATTAAAAAGTTCTGCTTTGTGAAAGACATTGTCAAGAGAATAAAAAATCAAGCCACAGACTGGGAAAAAACATTTGCAAAAGATAATATTTGATAAAGGACTCCTAGCCAGAATATATAAAGAACTCTTAAAACTCAACAGTAAGAGAACAAGCAACCCAATTAAATGGGCCAAAGACTGTAACGGATACTTTCCCCAAGAAGAAATGCAGATGGCAAGTAAGCGTGTGAAGAGATGTTCCACGTCCTATGTCATTAGGGAATTGCAAATAAGTAAAATAATGAGATAACCACTACACAGCCATTAGCTTTGCCAAAATCCAAAACATGACACCACCAAATGGTGTTGCAGATGTGCAGAAACAGGAACTCTTGTTAATTGCTGCTGGGAATGCAAACTCATACGGCCACTGTGGAAGGTAGTTCGGCAGTTTCTTGCAAAAGAAATCTGCTCTTACTATATGATCCAGCAATCATGCTTCTTGCCATTTACTGAGGTGAAATTCGAAAGGAGGTAAAAACTTATGTCCACACAAAAGCCTGCACATGGATGTTTGTAGCAGCTTTATTCACAACTGCCAACAATGAGAGCAACCAAGATGTCCTTCACTAGCTGAGTTGACAAATTGTGATCCACCCAGACAATGGAATATTATTCAGTGCTAGAAAGAAATGAGGTATCAAGCCATGAAAAGACAGGGGGAAGTCAAATGCATATTACTAAGTGAAAGAAGCCAATCTGAAAAGCCTACATATGTTTGATTCCATCTATATGATATTCTGGAAAAGACAAAACCATGGAGATAGTAAAAAAGATCAGTGGTTGCCAGGCATTGAGGGGAGGGATATATAGGGCGGTGAAACTATAGTATAATGTATCGTATGTAGGAGTGGATATATGCCATCCATTTGTCCAAACCCATAGAGTGTACACCAAGAGTGAACCCTAATGTAGACTGTGGTCTTGGGTGATGATGTGTCCAGGTAGGTTCATCAGTTGTCAGAAATGTGCCACTCCAGTGGGAGACGTTGATAATATGGAGGGCTCTTCGTGTCGGGGGGCAGCAGGTACATGGGGAATCTGTATACTTTCTTCCCAGTTTTGCTGTGGATCTGAAATGCTCTAAAAAATAAAGTCTACTTTAAAAAAGAGAGCGTTACTGCCTCACATAATTGAAAAGTCCAGGGCTAGTGCAGGCTTCAGTCACGGCTGGATTCAGGGGATCAGGGATACCATTTTGATGCAATCTTCATCTCTCAGCCCTACTTTCTTTCTTCACTCCAACAGGGGAGCTCCAGGGGCTCCAGGCTCCATGATCCCTAGTATAAAAACAGAGGCTCTTTGCCACTAGGAAACGCCTGGGTAGGGCTCTTACTGTCTAGCTTGAGCCTGGGACTACCCCCGGAGTCAGGGAAGGGAGATCCCCCCTTCCCAAGAGGACGATTGAGGTCTTGTTGCCAGAGGAAGGGAGACTAAGTTTTCGGCCTGCAAAAGCTATAGAGCAGATGATCAAGGCCCTTCCAGCTCTAACATTGGATGCTTCCAGTTCCAGCTGCCTGGCTGGTTGGGGACAGAAGACAGGCTTTCTGCAGAAGGAGGCAGAGACAGTGTTTCAGCTGGGCTTCAGAGCTCATACAGAACGGCCGCGGGAGGCTGAGAGGGTGCTGGGCATAGCGGGAACAAAGGTGGGTGTGTTTGGGGGCTGCTGAGAAGACTGGTTTGGCTGGACACTGGGTGTGTGAAGATTGGTCTGTGAAAGTATGTTGGGACCAGACTGGGGCCTGCCGGGATCTGGGTCCTGCCCCCAGATTTCCCAGCCTTGCCTATACTGGTTCCTCTGGGTGTTAACATCTCAGGAGGGAACCTCCCTGGGGTGGGGTCCGGTTGTGGGGGGGGCTGTGTTTCCGGGTCTCTGATGCCCACCTCCCCCCAGGCGTTCCTGGTCTATGCTGCAGGTGTCTACTCCAACATGGGCAACTACAAGTCCTTTGGCGACACCAAGTTTGTTCCCAACCTGCCCAAGGTGAGTTGAGGGAGGGCTGGAGAAGGTGAGGAATTTGGGGCCGGCGGGATGGGAGTGGGGGCCTAAGTAAAACCTTGACCCTGTCACTGCCATGCCTGTCACATATAAAGGGAAAGCAGTGTTTCTTCCTGACTATGCTGACCTGAGGGCATACAAGGGGAGGATGTATGAACTTAAGTGCTTGCGAAAATGGAGCCTGGTCATCTCATCACTGGGCATGGTGGAGAGGCCCAGGCATGGTGAGTCCCTCAATGGCACTGTGAGCTTGGGCCCATCTTGGGCAGAGGCCACTCTTACACCTGGGCTCTCGGCACTCACACACACAAGTTGTCTGGCCGTCTTGTTGAAATGCAGCTTCTGACTGAACGGGTCTGCTGTGGGGCCTGAGGCTCAACATTTCTCAAGCAATACCGATGCTGCTAGTCTGTCAGCCGCACTTTGAGCCGGGTCTTAGACTGCAGGAGAGGAGCTGGGGGGTGGGTGTGGAAGGTCCAGAAGACAGGCTTGGCGGTGTGGCCGAGCCAATGGCCTCTTCCCCTGCAGGAGAAGCTGGAACGTGTGATCCTGGGGAGTGAGGCGGCTCAGCAGCACCCGGAAGAAGTCCGGAGCCTCTGGCAGACCTGCAGGGAGCTCATGTTCTCTCTGGAGCCAAGGCTTCGACACCTCGGGCTGGGGAAGGAGGTGAGGCCCCCCAACCGTACAGGAGAGTGGAGGGCATCCTTTGGAGTCACCTGGAGGGAAGGATACTGCATAAGGAGGCAGTGGGCTTCAGTTTTGTCATTTGTAAACTAGGAAGCAAGTTGGATGGAGTGCTTTCTGAATGCCCTTCTGGTTCTGACAGCCTGGGGTGGTGTGTGCAGAAGGGAAGAAAAGAGCTGAGAGCTCGAGGGAGCTGAGGAGGGGGAAGATGGGAAAGGAGCAAGCCTTCGGGGTGGGCCAGCCGGCAAAAGGCTGGAGCAGAGCTGCAGGAAGGCTGGAGATGGGCGTCTGTGTGTGATTTGTGTTACGGTTTTCTCCCCTGGAAAGAGATGAGAGGGAGCAGGCTGGAGGCTGCCGGGAGGAAGTGCAGGAAGCCAGGGGCTGGGGGCAATGTGTCCCGACCACGGCAGTTCCTCCTCCCATCTGTCCCTTTCCCCAACAGGGAATCACCACCTACTTCTCTGGGGATTGCACCATGGAAGATGCCAAACTGGCCCAAGACTTTCTGGACTCACAGGTTTGAGGGTTGGGGAACTTGGGACAGTGGGTTGACAGGGCCCCCTCGCCATTGGCACCCACTCCCAGGTTTCAGCTTGGGTCCAGAGACACGGCATCCTGGGCATTTGAAGTAGAAAAGACTTGGGAATCCTTGTCTAAGAGTTGGCCTGGCTCCAGCGAGGAAGACGTTCCCACACGTGCCAGTGATGGAGCTGCCCCTGCCCGCCCCAGGCCGAAGGCCTTCGTGACAGCCTGAGGGCAGGACAGCGGAGACATCAGAGCTGCTCCGATTAGGTCCTGGAGTCCGTCATGGGGTTTACCTCCCAGCAACAGTTTCCACGTGTGCTGCCTTGCGTAGCCCTGGGTCAGCTGACACAGTGGGGTCAGCGCTTAGTAAACACTGCTCAGCGTATAGAGCAGAGCGTCTCGGGGAGCCCGGCCTGGCCTGCCCACCTGCTCTCTCCCCATCGCTGCGGACTCAGGCACGATCCCCCGGACGCCCCAGCCTGCTTTGCCTCTGTACCTTTCTCCCTGGTGTGAACCCGTTTCCCTCCTCCCACCTTGCGGCGCCCTCTGGACTTACTCTTCTTCCCTAAACCCCTGCCCTGGTCTTTTCCAGAACCTCAGTGCCTACAACACGCGACTCTTCAAGGGCGTCCCCCAGGATGGGAAGCCCTGCTACGAGGTGCGGCTGGCTTCTGTGCTCGGCATGGGTGAGATGCTTCACACACCCCTTTACTCCTTCCTCAGTGCTCCTGGCCCAGGGAGGGGGAGGGGGCTGGACTGAGGACAGGGGTTACCGGGCCCCCCAGGGAGTGACGGACCTAATAGTTCCAGCACACGTTGACTGCAGACCTACTAGGCGCCGTGCTCCCTGCTGTGCTCTGCGTCTGGTGGTACCTAGGAGGGGGACACGAGCCCCGGGGCTGGCTGCGACAGTAAAGATACAGGGGGAGACATGAGGACAGGGAGAGGGGTTCCAGGCCACTTGGTGGATGTTACTGCCGCAAGCCTCTGACGGTCCCCATCCTTCAGGCAGTGGCACAAAGGATAACAATCCATGTGAACAATGGGAACAGAGGCTGGGCCACCTGCCCCATCACAGGCTAGAAGAGAAATCCAAACTGCACATCACTGAAGGCTTAGTGGAGGAGGTGACCCTATGGGTCTTGGAGTTTCGGGAGAATAGAAAGGGGGAGATGGCGAACGTCCTGGAGTCCGCTTTCTAAATATCTCTCAGAGTACCCTCGGGGTAAAGCCCAAATCCACCTCCGAGGGCTCTGTCACTCAGAACTCTTCACAAGTGAAGACTCTATTGTACATTTGCCTAAACCAGAAGGGAGCTTAACAGGCTTGGGTACTTAAGAAGCCCGGAGTAGGATGGCTTCGAGCACAGCTGGACCCAGCTGCTCGGACCGTATTCCGAGAGATTTCTCTGTGTCTGGGCTCCGCTCTCTCACTTCATCCATGGCCTATTCCTCCCACACAGGGCCTGATAGACACCAGCCTGGCCACTCCAGCAGAAAGAGGGCCCTTTTCTCCCAGAAGTTTCTTCAATAAGGTCTGGGAGCGGCTCTAGTTTCTCTATTTTGGGTCCCGTATTTATCTGTGAACCAATCCCTGTGGTCAAGGGACAGATAGATCTCTGATCGTCTGGACCCTGATCCCAAGCCTGCCTCAGAGCCAGGTGACGATGAGGTCAGCCCCTCCCGTGCACCTGAATTGGAGGTGGGGGGAGGAGGATTCTCAGAGGAAAATTGGGGTCCAGACCCCTATGAGGACCTTTGCAACCTGACCCTCCCTTTTCCACTTGCCAGCCCCCAGCCCCATATCCCTGCCCACCTCCCACTTAGACTCTGTGCCCAAGCCGTACTTCGTAGTTTACTGAAAACCCCGTGCTGTCACATTTGCCGTCCAGAACTTTGCACGGTCTGTCCCCTTTCCCACCTCGAAGTCCTCCCTCTCGTCTACACATTCACGTGATGAACACCTGCTCATCACCTTCTCCAGCACCTTGCCCTGTCCTTCCATGACGTTCTCTTTTCCCATCAGCACACCCAGTAATTGCCCAGGCTTTTTTGTTGTTGCTGTTGACTGCGGGCTCCTCAAGAGGAGGAACTGTGTGTTTCACTGACCACTGTCTCCCCAGTGGCTAGCACTTGGTAGAAACTCAGATCTTTGGTGTGGGAATAGATGAAGATGGCACCCTCTGATGGAGGGAACGGTGTGAGCCCCAGAGCATGGTGGAGGGAAAGTTTAGGGATTGGCACATTGTTGGATTTGACCAAGGAGAGTGAGGCTCTGGAGCCAGGCTGCCTGAGTGCACCTGGTGTGTTATCTCTTGCTGTGTACGGATGACCCCCAGATTTAGGGTTATAAACCCACCTCTTCACGCTCACAGACTCTGCGGGTCAGGAATCAGGATGGGGCACAATCGGAACACCTTGTGCCAGGTGACAATGTCCGAGGCCGCAGCTGGGGAGACTCGGAGGCTAGGGTGCCATCAGCAGCCAGGGGCTGGAATCACCTGCAGACATGCTCCCACGGCCGGCGGAAGATGCTGGCTGTCAGCTGGGACCTCCGCAGGGGCTATGGGCCAGAACGCCTCGCGTGGCTTCTTCACGTTGCCCATGTTGGCTGGCCTCCACCAGTGAGCATCCCAAGAGAGCCACCTTGGGTGGCTTGGCGGACACCCCAAGAGAGCCATCTTGGGTGGACAAAAGCTGTGTCACCTTTTATGACCTGGCTTCGGCAGTTCCGTGGCATCACTTCTGCTAGAGTCACAAGCCTGCCCAGCGTCAGGAGGAGGGCCAAGAGCCCCCACTTCCTGATGGGGGATGTCACCTTGGGAGGTGGGAGACACTGTGCTTATCTTTTTTCTTTTACAACATAACCTAGAAATATATCCTACTGCTTAGCTGCAACAAGCAAAACACAACAAATCACCACAAATGTAGTGGCATAAAACAACATAAAGTTATTCTGTTACTGCTCTGGGGGTCCAAAGTCTGAAACAAGACTCCAGTTCCTTCTAGAGCCTCCAGGGGGCGATCTGTTTCCTCGCCTCTCTCAGCTTCAACTTCTAGAGGCTGCCTGCTTTCCTTGGCTCATGTCCCCTCCCCCCCCCCCCCCGCCCCAGCATCTTCTCTCACCGTACCTCCTACTTCCTGTTCACCCTCTCATCTCCTTATAAGGCTCCTTACATTTCGGTGATGGCTGTCTTTCTAAATACAGTTTGCCACCCTAGGTCTGAATCTTGCTCTGCCACTTGCTGCCTGTGTGACCTTTGGAAACTTACTTTACTTCTCCATGCCTTAGTTTCCCCATCTGTAAAATGGAGATAACTCCCCCCAGAGTTGATGTCAGGCTTAAATGAGTTAACTATATACATATTTTTTGAAAATGAAAGTTTATACTAATTTCTGTAGGCAGTGGGGAGTCATTGAAGATCTTAGAGTAAGAGTGTCACAGTGAGAAGCTTGCTGGGATGTCTTATGCTAGCCTTTTCCCTGAGCCATCCTTCTTCCCTCAGAGCCTGCTCTGCATTCTGAAATGACTTCCAAGCTGAAGAGCTACGAATTCCAGGGGAGCCATTTCCAGGTGACTCGGGGTGACTATGCCCCTATCCTCCAGAAGGTGGTGGAGCACCTGGAGAAGGCCAAGGTAGGGCTGGCTGGGGGCTGAGGGGTGCAAGCTCCAGATCCCTCTGGGCAGCAAAGACAGGCGCCGGGACAGGTGGGTGGCCTGAGGCTGACCGACCCCTGCTCACCCCCAGGCATATGCAGCCAACAGCCAGCAGGAACAGATGCTGGCTCAGTACATAGAAAGTTTCACCCAGGGCTCCATCGAGGCCCACAAGAGGGGCTCCCGCTTCTGGATACAGGACAAAGGCCCCATCGTGGAGAGGTGAGGCACCAGCCTTCACCCTGGCTGCCCCCCTCCTGCCTGCCCCTCTTCCATCTCTGCCCTTTACTCCTCCAGTTACATCGGGTTCATCGAGAGCTACCGAGACCCCTTTGGTTCCCGTGGAGAGTTTGAAGGTAACTTCTGGGAGGAGGGGGGTCAGCTTGCAAACGCTTACCCCGGTGTCCCCTGAAGGTTCTCCCCTCCCCCCTTGTCAATAATAATACAAATAATCAGAACCAGTGTTGATGATTTACCAGGCACTGGGCACTTAGCTATAGGAGCTTGTTTGGACACTGTCCTGTGACAATTACTATCCTCACTTTATGGAAGTGGTTATCGAGGCAGAGCTGGCGAGTGGCTGAGCCTGGCACCTTGGTTCTGAGCCACTTTGCTGCCTCTGCTGTCTCATCCGGGCACAGGCTACGGCCGTTCCAAGCCCAGCTTTGCCACTCACCGGCTGTGTGACCTCCCCAGCTGGGTAAACCCCATATCTGAGCATCGGTCACTCCCTTCTGGGTGTCGTGGGAAGTGAAGTATTATATGCAGGCTGCTCAGCACAACGCCAGGCACATAAAAGGTCATGGGTGAATGGGAGCATAATTAACATCATGCCTGTGAACTTGACTTGGCTGCTGTCATCCCAGGGCAGATGGGAGGCCGCCTTGGCCCTGCATGCCTATAGCCATACCCCCACCAGACCCACCTGTTCGAGGCAGGGCATCCATCCTGAGGATTTAGACTTCTGTGCCAAGCCTTATCTCCCCAGCCCCTGGGGATAGAGTCTGGAAAATCCCAACTGCTAGAAGCTGGAGAAATTAGCTTGGGAGGAGAGAGGAAAGCCCCAACAGCTGGTGGGGGGCTTAGATCTGTGCCCAAAGATGCAGGCCCAGGGCACAGGTGGTACAGGGACCAGAGGGGAGGACAGGTGTGCACACCTGCAGCTTGCCTGCCCGGGTCCTGATTCTCCAGGCCTTTCCGAGGGCCAAGACCCCAGAACATCCTAAGCAGCCTTGATCTCAGAGGCTCCCCTCTTTACCTAACTCATTGTAGTTATTAGAAAAGTAGTCCATGGGCGCCTGGGTGGCTCAGTTGGTTAAGCGACTGCCTTCGGCTCAGGTCATGATTCTGGAGTTCCAGGATCGAGTCCTGCATCGGGCTCCCTGCTCGGCGGGGAGTCTGCTTCTCCCTCTGACCCTCCCCCCTCTCATGCTCTCTCTATCTCATTCTCTCTCAAATGAATAAATAAAATCTTTAAAAAAAAAAAGAAAAGTAGTCCAGGGGCACCTGGCTGGCTCAGTCAGTAGAGCATGTGACTCTTGATCTCGAGGTTGTGAGTTCGAGCCCCACATTGGGTATAGAGGTTACTTAAAAATAAAATCTTAAAAAAAAAAAGGAAAAGTAGTCCATGTTCACGGTCACAGATTTTGGAAAACATACTAAAGAAATCATCCGTGATTGCTCCCACCTCAAGGTTAAAATTGGGAGTGTACATTGTGGGGGTTTTTTGTTTTTATTTATTTATTTTAAGATTTATCTATTTATTTATTTTAGAGATAGAGTGCAAGCAGAGGGAGGGGCAGAGGGAGAGAGAGAATCCACAAGCAGGCTCCCAGGCTGAGCAGGGAGCCCAATGCGGGGCTCGATCCCAAGACCCTGAAATCATGACCTGACCTGAAACCAAGAGTTAGCCACACAACTGACTGAGCCACCCAGGTGCCCCTGTTTTTTGTTTTTATGTAGAGCTATAAATGCTTAAAAATATGTGTGTGTGTGTGTGTGTGTGTGTTAAAAAATCCATGTTTGTTTTAAGTAATTGGAACAATACAGAAATACGTAGGATAAAACGTGAAATTGGTCCCCTGTGACACTCCCCTCCAGAGGTCACCACAGTTCATACAGTTGAGTACAGGTCTTTCCAGAGCTTTGTTTAAGCACATGCACAGAACTTTTAATTTATCCAGGTAGATGAGATTATGCTTTATGGATTGTTCTGCCACTTGCTTTCTTCACTAAATATTTTAGATATAAAAAAAAAAAATTTTAGATATCTTTTCATATCAGTATGTATAGACCTACCATGTTCTTTTTATTTTTACTTCTTTATTTTTTTAAATAGGCTCCACGCCCAATATGGAGCTTGAACTCATGACCTTGAGATCAAGGGTCACATGCTCTACCAACTGAGCCAGCCAGACTCCCCCATGTTCTTTTTGTTTTTTATTTTTTTATTTTTCTTTTTTAAAGATTTTATTTATTTGTTTGAGAGAGAAAGAGAGCAAGAGAGCACAGAGGGAGAGGGAGAAGCAGACTCCCCTCTGAGCAAGGAGCCTGACGCAGGGCTCGATCCCAAGACCCTGAGATCATGACCTGAGCCAAAGGCAGATGTTTAACCGACTGAGCCACCCAGGCATAGGCATGCCACCCCCCCCATGTTCTTTTTAATAGCTGCGTAATATTATAATTTCCCATGATATCTGCTGTTGTTACATGACTAACAGTTGCATGGTGTGCCATCGTATAGCTGCCCCCTAATTTATTTAACCAATCCCGGAGGTTGCATTTTCTTCTTTGCTGTTTTAATCATCCTGTCTTCCTGACCTGGTATGCCAATTCCACCCGACACAGTGGCTCCAGACAGGGAGGCTTTGCCAGGTCTAACCCTTGGCCAAGTTAATCTGTTCTTTGCAGGAGCCTGACCACGCAGTAGTCTAGGCCAGGCCTTTCCAAGGCATAGCTCGTGCAGGGTTCACAGGAATTACACCAAAAAGCGTTCAGTTCTAAGCAGTAAGGGGTCTTGCCTGCAGGACCTCTAATATGCAAATGTACATTAAGAATCTCTAAGAAGTTAGCCTTCGGCTCAGGTCATGATCCTGGAGTCCAGGGATCGAGTCCCACATCGGGCTCCCTGCTCAGCGGGGGGTCTGCTTCTCCCTCTGACCCTCTTCCCTCTCGTGCTCTCTGTCTCTCGTTCTCAAATAATAAAATCTTTAAAAAAAAAAAAAAGAATCTCTAAGAAGTTAGAGATAGAGCAAATAGTATTATCCAAACTTATTTGACCAGGAAGCTCTTTCTTTATGAAAGCTCTCATAGAAACTACATGTTACGGAGTGCAACTTTGGAAACAGAAATGGAAGCTAGGATCTCCAACTGCATTAAACCTAAAAGGATCAGTCCCAGGCCTCCTACGTAGTATACTGCCTCAGTCACCACCTCGCAAGCCAGATGCTCTAGCCTTGCAGGACAGTTCAGTTGCCCCCAAAAGAACATGTTTTTTGCTCTTGCAGTCCCTTCCACTGGGAATCTGATCTTTACCCACCACCCTCTATGTGCTCCCCGCCATCTCCTTTAAGATCCATCTCAGATGTTACCCAGTGAAGCCGCCTCTATATCCCACCCACCCCAGTGACCTCCACGAAGACGAGACCAGGCCTGGGTCCCTCTTCTCCCCACTGGCCCGCAAAGGGTACTGCACACAGCAGACATGTGGTACCTGCATGATGGCCAGAGGGGTCACGGAGTTGAGTGGGGTGCGGGACCCCTCCCAAACCCTGCCAGCCCACAGCCCACCTCTCTCCCTACAGGCTTTGTGGCCATGGTGAACAAGGCCATGAGTGCCAAGTTTGAGTGCCTGGTGGCAAGTGCAGAACAGCTGCTGAAGGAACTGCCCTGGCCCCCGACCTTCGAGAAGGACAAGTTCCTCGCCCCTGACTTCACCTCCCTGGATGTTCTCACCTTCTCTGGCTCCGGCATCCCTGCTGGCATCAACATCCCCAACTGTGAGCTTCCTCAAGTTGCAACAATGTCCGCTGAGTCGCCCCTCCCCCTGCACACAGTTGCCCTGGCCCCTTGCCCCACTCCGTTCTCCATCCCAGCCTGGTCCTCTTGTCTAGACTCCTCATCTGTGGCCCTTGATGTTTTTTTGTGTTTTTTTGTGTTTTTTTTTTTTTGCCCCAAGATTTGGGATTTTTTTTTATTCTTATGTTAATCCCCATACATTACAACATTAGTTTTAGATGAAGTGTTCCATGATTCATTGTTTGTGCACAACACCCAGTGCTCCATGCAGAATGTGCCCTCCTCAATACCCGCCACCAGGCTAACCCATCTTCCCACCCCCCTCCCCTCTAAAACCCTGTTTGTTTTTCAGAGTCCACCGTCTCTCATGGTTCGTCTACCCCTCCGATTTCCCCCGCTTCATTCTTCCCCTCCCGCTACCTTCTTCTTCTTTTTTTTTTTTCTTAACATATATTGCATTATTTGTTTCAGAGGTCCAGATCTGAGATTCAACAGTCTTGCACAATTCACAGCGCTTACCAGAGCACATACCCTCCCCAGTGTCTATCACCCAGTCACCCCATCCCTCCCACCCCACCCCCCACTCCAGCAACCCTCAGTTTGTTTCCTGCAATTAAGAATTCCTCATATCAGTGGGATCATAGGATACATGTCTTTCTCTGTTTGACTTATTTCGCTCAGCATAATCCCCTCCAGTTCCATCCACGTCGTTGCAAATGGCAAGATCTCATTCCTTTTGATGGCTGCGTAATATTCCACTGTGTATATATATTGTGGCCCTTGATGTTTGCCCCTTCTCCCTGGCTCCCTCCCTACCTTCTCCAGACGACGACCTGAGGCAGACGGATGGTTTCAAGACTGTGTCACTGGGGAACGTCCTGGCTGTGGCCTACGCCACTCAGCGGGAGAAGCTGACCTTCCTGGAGGAGGAGGACAAGGTGGGCCCCAGCTGCCCAAGGGCTTGGGGCGGGCCTGGCCTGACGGCTGACACAAGAAGCCAGAGGGCCCAGTGCAGGGAGAGGAAAGAGCACGGCTGCCAGCCCGGTGGCCTGAGACTTGGCCTGTTTGCTCACATGTCAAACCGTGGAGGCAGTCCCTTCCTCCAGGTTGTTGTAAGGATGGGACGGGCCGAGCGGGGGCGCCCGTGGAGCCTGGCAGGAAGGAGGCTACCGGCCTCCTGGGGGCAGCAGGGGCATCAGCAGGCCATGTGGCTGTGGTGGGGCTGTAGACAGCATGGGCCTCTGCTTGTCTCGGCAGGACCTGTTCATCCGCTGGAAGGGGCCCTCCTTTGATGTGCAGGTGGGACTGCACGAGCTGCTGGGCCACGGCAGCGGCAAGCTCTTCGTGCAGGTGAGAACGCGCCCGCAGCTCCCCTCCCCCACGATCAACCCCACCAGGGTGAAGCTGCTTCCGTCTTTGTCCTCACGGGCTTTGGATTAGGTGGGGAAAATGGCCCCTAAAGGAGGGAAGTTCCTATCTCACCCTCCCCCGAGATGTCCCAGGAGCCCCAAGGGTGCAGGGCCCTCAGGACAGTCCAGCTGAGGTCTCCTTCACAGGAGGAGTGGCTTGGCTCAGGCCAAGGAAGCCTGCCCTGGAGGTGGGACTCCCGACAGCCCAGGGACAGGGAGGCTGTGAGGCGCAGTCTCTGCAGGCTCCCAGTCCTGAGGCTGCAGCGTGGTCTGTCTTTGGACTACTGTTCCCTAGAACCTGTACCTTTCCAGGTATTAACAGGGAGTGAGTCACTTCTTGCGAGAGCAGCCCCTTCCTGCCAGCCAATCAGAGTGGCTGGAGCCCCTGGGACACCCACTCAGGGAATACAAAGAAGACAGACAGCCTTTCTGCCAGGCTGAGGAGAGCCCATGATGGACCCCTAGCATGGAGCTGCACAGACGAGATGACCAGCGGGGAGCGGGGGGTTGGGGGAGGGTAGGGCCAGGGCATCAGAGAGAGCAGGGTTCTGGTTTGGGTCTGCTCCCTGTGAGGTGGGGCACGTCACTGAATCAGGAGGGGCTGGAGGTCAGGACGATTCAGAGAGCAGCTAATGGGGGCAGCAGCCTGGCAAACTGTCCTTGTCCAAGCTTTGAAGTCACAGGGAAATGGAGACAAATGTGGCCACTCTGTGTCCTTGCACAAGTCAGTTCTCCTTACTGAGCCTCAGTTGGCCCATCTGTGAAACAGGGACCCTGACTCCTACCATATCGGCCATCATGAGGAATAAAAGCGAAGCCCTAGGGCTTGCCTGACACAGTAGGCCCTCTAGAAACGGATTTACTGTAAAGAGATAGTGTGCGTGGAGGTTATGTGCTCTGATTCCACGTTGGGGCTCATAGTCTCTGGACTTCATTTTCCTCCTCTGTGAAGTGAGGCAATAGAACCTTCCTGGGGGGACGTGGTTGTGAGGAATAAATGGATGGAGCATGAAAGACACTTGGCACGTGGAGTGGATAGCAAGGCTGATGCTTATTGGAGGTAGAGAATCACAGGCTGTGGCCTCTGCCAGCATGGGGAGAGGGCCCGGGAAGCGCGTAGGGGAGCAGCATCCCAGCTTTCTAGCCCATCCGCTGGCACATATCTGGGGTCCAGAGATCCTGGGTCTGGGTTTTCACGTGCTGGGGGCTCTGCGAGGGCAGCCAGGGTCAGAGGACTCTGGTTTGGAGGCGGCAGCACGAGGATGGTGCTCAAATCCCTGGGCTGAAGCACTGGGCTGGGGCAGAGGCACCTTTCCCTCACTTGCCCTATGTCCTGACCCTTCTGCAGGATGAGAAAGGAGCATTTAACTTTGACCAGGAGACAGTGATCAATCCAGAGACGGGGGAGCAGGTGAGGGCGGCCTCGGCGGAGCCCCCAGGTGCTGGGGGGCTGGGCATGCTGGGGTGGCAGCTACTCCTAAGCCTACCTCCCGGGCTTCCCCTCCCAGATTCAGAGCTGGTACCGGAGCGGGGAGACCTGGGACAGCAAGTTCAGCACCATCGCCTCTAGCTACGAAGAATGCCGGGCTGAAAGTGTGGGCCTCTACCTCTGCCTCAACCCCCAAGTTCTGGAGTACGGGCAACAGGCATGGGGGGTGGGCCTCCCTGTGGACAGGGGGCGTCCTGGCGGGGGTCAGGACCCAGGCAGCCTCTGACTGCCCCTGCCACCTCCCTGTCCCTCCCCCAGGATCTTTGGCTTCGAGGGGGCTGATGCAGAAGATGTGATCTATGTGAACTGGCTCAACATGGTTCGGGCTGGGCTGCTTGCTCTGGAGTTTTACACCCCTGAGGCCTCCAGCTGGAGACAGGTGGGAGCCAGCAGAGAGCCAGCAGGGGGAGGCCTGCAGGGGGGGCCAAGGTCAGGATTCTAGGTGTAAGGATGGGACAACCTTATCTACCTAAGAGGCACATGAAGTGGGTTTAATCCCAGACTCCACTGCTTATGGGGGTAAGTCACACTGTTGTGAGCCTCAGTGTCCCTGTCTGTGCAATGGGAATAATAATCTCCCTGCCCACCTCTGAGGGCGAAATCAGATGAGGTGATTTTATACGACTGCTAATAGCTGACTTGCGTCAGACTTAACTCTGCCACACACAGTTCTAAGCACTTTATCTGAATTAACTCTTTGTTCCCCACGTCAACCTCAGGAGGTAGGTGCTATTATTACTCTCATTTTAGAGATGAGGAAATTGAGGCACAAAGACATTAAGTAACTTGCTGTTAAGTAGCAGAGCCAGGATTCAAATCTAAGCAGTCTATCTCCAGAGCTGTTAGGCTAGGCTGCTCAGTTATGAGATGTACTTTGGAAATAGGGTAAAAAATAGGAATGTTCTTAAAAGTCATACAAGTCTGTTTCGAGGAGGCAATCTTATGTCATCAGAAGAATACACGTTTTAGAGTCAGAAAACTTAGGTCTGAGTCCTTGATCTCCCTTAACAGCTGTGTGACCCTGAGCAAGTGACTTCACCTCTCTGGGCCTCTGTTTTGTCATCTGTAAACTGGGGTTCATGATGCCCACTTGGTCCCACTGTTGAATGCAAACAAGATTGTAGAAGAGAAAGTGCTTGGTGACCTGGATTGTGGGGGACCCCTGGGGGTATCTGCTATCATCAGGGTGGGTTCTAGAGCAGCAAGGGGGCGCACAGGGCTCTGGGACCTGCCTGGAAATGGCCTTCCTGTTTCCCAGGGCAGCCTGCCTTCCCTTATGAACAGAGAGGGGAGGATACATTTAAGGGGAGAGGAATAGGCAGAAAAAGACCCAGAGGGGTGAGGGAGAATGAAGGGGTAAGAATAACTGACAGTTAATGAGCACATACTGTGTATGAGGCTTTGGACCAAGCTTTTGATATGTCTTATCTCAGGGATGTAAATAATTCCTTTCTTCTTGGCTCCGGCAGGCCCACATGCAGGCCCGGTTTGTGATTCTGAGGGTCTTGCTGGAGGCTGGCGAGGGACTCGTTACTGTCACTCCCACCACAGGCGCTGATGGGCGCCCAGATGCCCGGGTCCGCCTTGACCGCAACAAGATCCGGCCTGTGGGCAAGCCCGCCCTGGAGCGGTTCCTGAGGAAACTTCAGGTAAGCGGAGCCGTCTTGCCTTCCAGCCTCACCCTGTCTCCTCCCCTCTAGTACTGCCTCGTAGCCTTCTGATCATCCTTTTGTTTGTTCGTTCGTTCATTCATTCATTCATTCATCAGACAAGTGTGTATACTGAGTGTTACCATATGCCAGGCACTGAGCATAAGTCGTAAGCAGTTTCTTATGTTGTAGTGAACATGTAAATAATAAGCGAATGAGACGAGAGCTGTAAAGACAATAAAACTTGGTGATACGATAGCAAGTGAAATTGGAGGGGAAAGGAATGCAGAGCCTCCTTAGCCTGGGTGGTCATGGAAGGCTTCTTGGAGGAGATAGCGTTTAAGCTGAAATTTGAGTGCCAGGCAGGAACCAGCTATGAGAAGGTCTGAGAGCAGAAGAAACAAAGCACAAAGTCTGGTTTGGGGACTGGACTGAGCTTTGTGGGTTGAGGGACAGAAGGAAGCCTGGAGCTTAGTAGGTGAAGGACAGTGGTCAGCGTGGCCTTGGCTTCCCTCCCACATAGGGATGCTTAGAGTTGGGACCGTTTGGGGTTCTGATGTCAGTATTTTTTTTTTTTTTTAAAGATTTTATTTATTTATTTGACAGAGAGAGAGATAGTGAGAGCAGGAACACAAGCAGGGGGAGTGGGAGAGTGAGAAGCAGGCTTCCTGCTGAGCAGGGAGCCCGATGTGGGACTCGATCCCAGGACCCTGGGATCATGACCTGAGCCGAAGGCAGACGCTTAACGACTGAGCCACCCAGGCGCCCTCTGATGTCAGTATTAACCAGCCACGTAATTGGGGCAACATACTCTGCCTTGCTGGGCCCCACTTTTCTCATCTGTTAAATGGGATACATTGCCTACCTCACTTGGCAGACAGCAAATGACACGACATACTGAGCAAATAGAATGTTGTGAATCCAAGCCCGTGTGACATTAAGTGTGGTCCATGGACTAGCAGCATCAGCGTCACCCAGAAGCAGCCTACAACTGCAGATTCTTGGGCACCACCCCAGACTTGATTCAGAAATTGTGAGAGCAGGACCCAGGAATCTGCATGTTTACCTGCCTGCCAGGTGAGTCTGACATTCAGCAAAGTTTGAGAACCACTCAAGGCCCACTCTTCACTGCAGTACCTTCCAGTGGAACTGGGTCCTGCCAGCTTTTTCAATTGATAAAAGGCCCAGCCTTCAGTTCAGCAAATACCTCCATGATTATACTCCCACCTATTTCCAGAAAGGATTTAAGGCACTTTTTAATAAAATATATGTGTTTGGCCATTAAAGTACAATAAAATTAGAAATTAAAAATCAGGGTCACCTGGGTGACTCAGTAGGTTGAGCATCTGCCTTCAGCTCAGGTCATGATCCCAGGGTCCTAGGATCGAGTCCCACGTCAGGCTCCCTGCTTGGCAGGGAGCCTGCTTCTCCCTCTCCTGCTCCCCCTGCTTGTGCTCGCTCTCTCTCTCTCTGTGTCAAATAAATAAATAAAATCTTTAAAAAAAAAAAAAGAAATTAAAAATCAGGGGCACTTGGGTAACTCAGTCAGTTAAGTGTCTGCCTTCGGCTTAGGTCATGATTTCCAGGATCCTGAGATCGAGGCCCATGTTGGGCTCCCTGCTCAGCGGGGAGTCTGCTTCTGCCTCTCCCCCCCACTCGTGAGCTCTCTCTCTCACTATGCTCTCTCTCTCAGATAAATCTTTTTTTTTAAAAGATTTTATTTATTTATTTGACAGAGAGAGACACAGCAAGAGAGGGAACACAAGCAGGGGGAGTCGGAGAGGGAGAAGCAGGCTTTCCACGGAGCAGGGAGCCCGATGCGGGGCTTGATCCCAGGACCCTGGGACCATGACCTGAGCCGAAGGCAGATGCTTAACGACTGAGCCACCCAGGAGCCCCTCAGATAAATAAAATCTTAAAAAAAAAATCAGTAGTGGTGCCTGGGTGGCTCAGTCGTTAAGTGTCTGCCTTTGGCTTAGGTCATAGTCCCAGGGTCCATGCTTCTCCCTCTCCCACTCCCCCTGCTTGTGTTCCCTCTCTCCCTGTGTCTCTCTCTGTCAAACAAATAAATAAATAAAATCTTAAAAAAAAAAAATCAGTAGGGGGCGCCTGCGGGGCTCAGTCGGCTAAGTGTCCGACTCTTGATTTCAGCTCAGGTCATAATCTCAGGGTCCTGGGATCGAGCCTCGCATCGGGCTCTGCACTCAGCATGGAGTCTGCTGGAGATTCTCTCCCTCTCCCTTTCGCTCTGCTCCTCCCCCTGTTCATGCACACTCTGTCTCTCTCAAATAAATAAATAAAATCTTAAAAAAAAAAATCAGTAGATGCAAAATGCAATATGGGTCTTAGATCTGGAGTAGAAAAAAGGTCATTAATGGGACAACTAGTGAAATCTAAAAATGCCTAGAGTTTAGTTGATAGTAATGTACCAATTTTGTACAGTGTTAACAGGAGAAACTGGACAAGGGGCATAGGCAAACTCTCTGTTCTATCTTTGCAACTTTTCTATCTATCTTGAATTATTCTAGTTTGTTAATGATAATAAGTCACTAGATGAAGGAATCAAATCTGCCAAATCCTAGTCCAATATTGAACTGTGACTTAGTATTGAACAAGCACAGAATGTTCCATTCTAGGGAATGAACCAGTTGGGTCTCTGTACGAGAGGAGTCATTCAGCAGGACAGTCACCTCAGCAATAGCTTTTTTATAGAAGATACGGAATATGGAAGCATTGTTGGTGCGGCTGTTCGTCTTACCAGCCCCCTAGCAAAAGCCAAGAGCACAGCAACGAGACAGCAAGTAGCAAGTAGGGAAGATGAAGGCATTTCCACAAGGAGAGGCTTCTGCCAGCGTCACAAACACGGGCCATTTTGGCCCACCTTGTATTGTGAAAATTGGCAGGGTTGGGTATAAATCTGTATTTCTGGCTTCTTGGAAGGACTGGCATTAATAGGCTCAAATCCCATGTAAACAACTGGCTGAAACTGAGCAGTAGCCACCACATTTGGGCATTTGGACATGGCATGACTCTCCAGTTTGCCAGCCTCCTCCCTACTATCTGTCCTGCCTCCCATTGGCATTGATGTTACCAGCTGTCTGGTTTAAGCTGGTGGGATCTAATGTGTCGGCTTGATGAATGTGTCTCCGCTACTTTCTGTGTGCTGAGTACTATTGGGAAGAGAGAAAGAGGAGATGTTCTCTTTAACGGTCCCTCTGGAGTTTCCCCCGCATCCCCTGGAGAATCCTTGTAACCCTGGGTCTTACCTGGAGGAAGCCATAGTAGGAGTCCTACTTTGCCACCTTCAAATCAGTACAAGTAAGGATCAGACCCACAAAATGTCAGATATTTGGAAAAGAACCAAATGGAACTCCCAGAAATAAACTGTAACACCACTGAAACTAAAAATAGGCAGGATAAACAGGTTTGAGATCCAGCTAAAGATAAAAGAAAATATATGGTATGTAGCACAGAGACCAAGATAGAAAATTTAAGAGAAGTGAAGAGTCATGGGGGACAGTGTGGAAAGGTCTAAGGTATGTAAACAAAGCTCCAAATGAAAGGAGAGCGAGAAGGTGGGAAAAGGCATATATTAAAAGAGATAATGGCTGAGAATTTCCTAGAGCTGATTAAAGGCCCAATTCATAAATTCATCAAGTTTAAGAATTCAGGAAAGAGAAGGAAATTAAGTAGAAAACAGAAGGAGGAGGGGTGCCTGGGTGGTTCAGTTGGTTAAGGGACTGCCTCTTGATCTCAGCTCAGGTCTTGACCTTGGGGTTGTGAGTTCTAGCCCCGTGTTGGGCTCCACGCTGGGCAAGGAGCCTAACTTAAAAAAACAAAAAGAAAATAGAAGGAGGAAAATTACAAATATACTAGTTGACACACAGGAGCTGAAATAGAAGTATAGAGAAGACCAAAAAGCCCAAAGTTGGTTTTTGAAAAGATAATGAAACCGACAAACATCTGACAAGATTTGTCAAGAAAAAAAGAGTGAAGGCACAAATAAGAGTAGAAACTTAAAGGGCACATAACTACAAATGTAACAGTAACTTATGGCAATAAAATTCACAACTTTGGTGAACTGGACAACTCCTGAGAAAAATAAAACTTGTTAAAGTCCACTCATGAATAGATGACTTGACCAGTCTATAGCCATTATAGAAATTAAATCAGTGGGGGCGACTGGGTGGCTCAGTCGTTAAGTGTCTGCCTTCGGCTCAGGTCATGATCCCGGGGTCCTGGGATCGAGCCCCGCATCGGGCTCCCTGCTTGGCGGGAAGCCTGCTTCTCCCTCTGCCACTCCCCCTGCTTATGTTCCCTCTCTCACTGTGTCTCTCTCTGTCAAATAAATAAAATCTTTAAAAAATAAAAAAAAAATTAAATCAATGATCTAAAGTCTTCATACAAAAAATACTAAGCCTACAGAGTTTTATAGGTGAATCTTTCAGAATATTCAAGTAACAGATGGTATCAATTTTACATAAACTCTTCCAGGTAATAGAAGAAGAGAGTATATTCTTCACCTCATTTTATTATGCTAGTTTGACCTGGATACCCAAATCAAAGATAGTTCCAGAAAGGAAAATATAAATGCCAAAATTCTAAACAAAATCCTAGCAGACCAAATCCAGAACATACCAACGTGGGTTTATCCCAGAAATGCAAGGTTTATCTAACATTAGAAAATATATTTTTGAAAATAACCATATTAACAGATTAAAAGAGAAAAACCATGATCATCTCAATAGATTTTTAAAAAGCTCTTGAAAGTCATTTATATCCATTATGATAAAAACTTTTTTGAAAACTCAGAACTGAAAAGAATTTTTTTTTAAAGATTTATTTATTTGAGGGGCCCCTGGGTGGCTCAGTTGGTTAAGTGCTGGACTCTTAGTTTTGGCTCAGGTCCTGATCTCATGGTCTTGAGGGTGAACCCCCGCATCACAATCCACACTAAGTTTCGAGTCTGCTTAAGATTCTCTCTCCTTCTCCCTCTGCCCTTCCTGCTTGTGCTCACTCACACTCTCTCTAAAATAAAATAAATTGGACACCCGGGTGGCTCAGTCCCTTAAGTGGCTGCCTTCAGCTCAGGTCATGATCCCAGGGTCCTGGGATCGAGTCCCACATAGAGCTCCCTGCTCAGTGGGGAGTCTGCTTTTCCCTCTGCCCCTCTGCCCATTTGTGCTTGCTCTCTCTCTCTGTCTCAAAAATAAATAAAAATAAATAAATAAATAAATAAACCTTTAAAAAAAAAAGTAAAGATGGGGAAGGGGCAGCAGGAGAGGGAAAAGGAGAGAAGCAGAATCCCCGCTGAGTGGAGCGCGGAGTCTCGGGTCTCAATTCCATGACCCCGAGATCATGACCTGAGCGAAAACCAAGAATCAGACACTCAACTGACTGAGCCACCCAGGCACCCCAAAAAGAATTTTCTTAACTGATAAAGAATGTCTCAGAAATTGAACGTACAGTAACTGTCATCTGTTCAAACACTAAAACATTCCCTTTAAAATCAGAAAAAAGACAAAAATGCTCCCTATTTCCACTTCTGATTGACAGTTTGCTGAAGGGCTTAGCTTTTGAAAGGAAACAAGATAAAAAATGTAAAGTTTAGGCATTAGGCAGAAATAAAACTCTTCATGTTGCAGATTATATGACTAGGCAAGTCAAAAGAATCTACAAACAAACCGATGAAATCAATAAAAGTTTCACAAGGTTGAATAAAGTCCCAGGAGGGGGGCACCTGGTTGGCTCGGTCGGTTAAGCATCTGCCTTTGGCTTAGGTCATGATCCCACAGTTCTGGGATCCTGTTGGCTGTCCAGAGGAGAGCCTGCTTCTCCCTCTCCCTCTGCCCCTACCCCACCCCCCGACTCATGTGCTCTCTCTTGCTCATTCTGCTCTCTCAAAATAAAGTCTTAAAAAAGTCCTAAGAGGGTTTTTCATGGAACTTGACAAGCTGATTGTGAAGTTTATTATTTATTTATTTGTTTGTTTATGTATAGTTTAAGAGTGTGCAAGAGTAGGGGGGAGGTGCAGAGGGAGAGAGAGAATCCCAAGCGGACTCCCAACTGAGTGTGGAGCCCCGTGCAGGGCTGGATCTCACAACCCTGAGATTATGACCTGAGCCAATGTCGAGAGTTGGACCCTGATTGTGAAATTTAGACGGAAGCCTAAAGGAGCACCAGTAAGAACCAAGACACTCCTGAGGCAAAAAAAGCTGGGGGACTCATTCCACCAGATACCAAAATTTATTCTAAGATAATTAAGTTCAGTGTAGCCCTGGGACAGGAATAGACAAATTGACCAGTGGAACAGAGCCAAGAATCAGCATTGACTCTGGTGTGTGACAGAAGGGACACTGCAGACCACTAGAGAGGGAGGGACCATTTAATAAGCCATGCTGAGACGAACTGGATTTCTACCTTCTACCATACACAAAGTCAATCCCAGGATCAACAGCTTACATAGAAAAGGCAAAATTTTTAAGAGAAGAATATCTTTTTTTTCTTTAAAGATTTTATTTATTTATTTGAGAGAGAGAGACTGAGAGATAGAGAGCACGAGAGGGAAGAGGGTCAGAGGGAGAAGCAGACCCCCTGCCGAGCAGGGAGCCCGATGCGGGACTCGATCCCAGGACTCCAGGATCATGACCTGAGTCGAAGGCAGTCGCCCAACCAACTGAGCCACCCAGGTGCCCGACAGAGAAGAATATCTTTATGACCTCAGAGTGAAGGAAAATTTCTCTAAGCACAAGAAGCACTAGTCATCAAGGAAAAGATCGGTTCCTTTAACTACATCAAAAATAGCTTTGGGCGCCTGGGTGGCTCAGTCGTTAAGCGTCTGCCTTCGGCTCAGGTCATGATCCTGGAGTCCCAGGATCGAGTCCCGCATCGGGCTCCCTGCGCGGCAGGGAGTCTGCTTCTCCCTCTGACCCTCCCCACTCTCATGCTCTCTCTCTCTCATTCTCTCTCTCAAATAAATAAATAAAATCTTTAAAAAAAAAAAAAGCTTTTTGGGGGGGCCGCCTGGCTGGCTCAATCGGTGGAGCATGTGACTCATGATCTCGGGGTTGTTAAGTTCAAGCCCCACGTTGGGTGTAGAGATTACTTAAAAAGAAAGTCTTTTAAAAATAAATAAATAAATAAAATTTAAAATACAAATAAAAATAGCTTTTATTCATCAAAAGTTACCATAAAGAACGTGAGAAGTCTTAAACTAAGACAGGGTATTTACCACATAATGTGTGAACAAAAAGTTAGTACTTAATATATAAAGAACTCAAAAAAAAAAAAAAAAAACCGTGAGGAAGAAAAGACAACCCTGCAGAAAAATAAGCAAAACTCATGAACCGAAGAGGAAAATGAATAACACATCAACTTATGGGAAGACGTTCAGCCTCTTGAGCAATCAGGAAAGCACAGCTTAAACCACATGAGCTTTATACCCACCAGTTTGGCAAAAATGGAAAACTGCCAACACCACCTGGCATACAGAGTGGTGAGGACTGCCAGCCACTGCCTCCGGGAACGTCAGCTGGTGCAACAACTTTGGAGAGCTATGTGGGCTTGTCTAAGGTGGAACATTCACCTGACCTCCAGATGATTGATTCTCCCGGAGAAACCTGCATCTCGTCCTTCTGTCCATCAGGAGGCGCCCAGGGTGTCCATGGCGATGCTGAATGACAGACAGCACAAGCTGCCCCCATCATGGGAAGGGATTCACCTGTGGGGTGTTTCTAAGTGGAACAGTGGACAGCAGTGAGAAGGGTGAACTATGGTTGCATGCCCGAACACAGACGAATCTCACATATACCTCAAGCGGAAAAAGCAAATCACAGGACACAAGCAAAAGTTAAAATAATGTGGTCCAGAGCAGAATTCAGGGAACATAAGGGAATGATAAGCACAGAATCGAGGACTGTTTATTTCCTCAGACAGGAAGCCCCAGGATGCAGTCAAGGGAGGCGCTAACTTGGGGTGTTTGGCTGGCTCAGTTAGTAGGGCATGCGAGTCTTTTTTTTAATTTTATTTATTTGAGGGGCGCTTGGGTGGCTCAGTCGGTTGGGCATCTGCCTTCAGCTCAGGTCATAATCCCAGGATCCTGGGATCAAGTCCCACGTCTGGTTCCCTGCTCAGCGGGGAGTCTGCTTCTCTCTCTCTCTCTCTCCCTCTCTACCCTTCCACCCCTGCTTGTTCTCTCTCCCTCTCTCTCAAATAAATAAATAAAATCTTTAAAAAAAAAAAAGATTTTATTTATTTGAGAGAGAGAGAGGGGTGAGGGGCAGAGGGAGAAGCAGACTCCCCGCTGAGTTGGGAGCCTGATGCAGGGCTCGATCTTGGGACTCCAGGATCATGACCTGAGCTGAAGGCAGAGGTTCAACTGACTGAGCCACCCAGGTGCCCCAAGCATGCAACTCTTGATGTCAGTGTTGTGAGTTCAAGCCCCACATTGGGCATGGAGCCTACTTAATTAAAAAAAATAAAACTTTTTAATTTAAAAAAGGGGAGGAACTAACTCTTAAGCTGGGTGCTAGTTATATGGATGTCTTATTGTTTTTTATAACCTATGTATTATATTCTTTATAACCTATGTATTATAACCTAATATGTATATACTATATATTTTGTATGTGTGAAATCATTTTTTTTTTTTAAAGAGGATGATGGTAATGCTTTCTCTGTCTCCAGTTCAAATGAGACAACCAAATGAGAAACATTAGCTTCACTTTACTAGGCACTTAGTATCAGCTAAGCCCTTGATCTATATTTCTCCCGTATTCAGCACAGTAACACGGTGAGAGAGCAGATACCATCCAGGGTGAGCACAACCGGCTGGGGCCCCTGGCAAAGCCCCATGGAGGCATGAGGGGTGCCCATCATAGGCACTAATTCCTTCTGCCTTCCCACAGGTGTTGAAGTCCACAGGAGATGTGGCTGGAGGCCGGGCCCTGTATGAGGGGTACGCGGCGGTCACTGATGCATCCCCTGAGTGCTTCCTCACCCTCAGGGACACAGTGCTACTCCGCAAGGAATCTCGGAAGCTCATCGTTCAGCCCAACACTCGCCTTGAAGGTAATGGACACCTGAGCCCTCTTTGATGGACAGAGGCCCTGGGCTCAGGAAAGGCTACCTGGGGTGACTCCTGCCTCTCTCCCTCCCTGCCCCAGGCTTCCCCATGCCAAACCCTAGGCCCCAAACCTTGGCATCTGTTACCACCACCCCACACATGCAGGGCTGTGCTGCTTATAAGACAGCAACCAGGGGCGCCTGGGTGGCTCAGTCATTGAGCAGACGCTCAGGGTCCTGGGATCAAGCCCCCCGCATCGGGCTCTGCGGGAAGCCTGATTCTCCCCCTCCCACTCCCCCTGCTTGTGTTCCCTCTCTCGCTGTGTCTCTCTCTGTCAAATAAATAGATAAAATCTTAAAAAAAAAAAGACAGCAACCAGAGGTTTGCAGAAGGCCCACAGAGCAAGGGCTAGTGGAACAAACAGACCACAGGCTTACAGGGAGGCCAGGCACGTTCTTGGAGGATCAGGCCTGTCGGTGCCTGGGGACAAGGTGAGGGGCAGGCATGAGTTGGAACCCAGCAGGCTGGTGGAACCCAAGGGACAATGTGACTGCAGAGCCGGGGAGAGAGATCAGCAGCCCCATGGGCCCCTCCTTTCTCAAGTGATGACTCTCTTTCCAAAAGCCTTGACCCTGTCTGCGCTGCACTTTCACCTGTTGTATTAGAGGCCTGTTCTGCATTCACTTTCCTCTCACCTCCTGACCCATCTTTCCTGACGCCTGTCACGTGAGGCACCTGAGCAGAGGTGGTGCCAGGCAGCTGCTCCGTGACTTGTCTTCATCCATAAAGCCAGTGTGGATTGTGTGCTGACAGTTAGCTACTTCCTTCAAGCTCTTACTGCTTTCCATGGCTTCACTCTTTAAATCCTCCCCACGGGGGCGCCTGGCTGGCTCAGGAAGCAGAGCATGTGACTCTTGATCTTGGGGTCGTGAGTTCAAGCCCCACATTGGGCATAGAGCGCACTTACAAAAATAAAATAGAATAAAATAAATCCTCACCATAACCCAATGAGGTAGTTACAGTTTACATTTTACAGTTAAGAAAACTGGGCGCCTGGGTGGCTCAGTTGGTTGGGCGACTGCCTTCGGCTTAGGTCATGATCCTGGAGTCCCGGGATCGAGTCCCGCATCAGGCTCCCTGCTCAGCGGGGGGTCTGCTTCTCCCTCTGACCCTCTTCCCTCTCGTGCTCTCTGTCTCTCATTCTCTCTCTCAAATAAATAAATAAAATCTTAAAAAAAAAAAAATACAGTTAAGAAAACTGAGGCACAGAGACAAGAATCATTCAAGGCTTACAGCTCTTTACCGGAGGAGCCTAGAGGCAGATGAAGGGCGCTCCTCACTCTCACAGTCACGGGCAGTTGTGAAGGTTAAATGAAATAATTACCTCCTACTGGCAAGGAAAACACATTTGAAAGGCTTATTTCCAACTCTTTATGTTGCACTCCAGAGGCCCAGGGGATTTGGCCCCGACCCCTGCCAGGCCTCAGGGACCCCTCCTGGCTCACTGGCCTCCAGGCTCATGGCCTTTCCATTTCTCCAACGCCCTGAGCTCGCTCCACTCCCATAGCCTTTGCACTCACTGTCTCCTCTGCTGGGCACAGCCCTCCCCCAATCTTTGGTTGGTCCTTCCTGTCATTTTGGTCTCTGTTAAATGACACCTCCTGGGAGAGGCTGTCCCTGACCCCTCAACCTAAAGCAATCCCTTCACGCACTGTCACTCTGCTATTTTCCCGTCTGCCTTGCTTCCACATTAGCAGCAAGTAGTTAGCATAGGGCCTGGCACACAGGAGCTGCTCAATGCATGTCAAATGAGTAAATGGACAAATCATGCCAGACACATAGTAAGTGCTCATTACAACATCATTGCTTTGATTGTCCAGCCCTGTGTGGGCCCTTGGGGATGGAGAGGTGAATCAGACCCAGGCCCTTGCCTCAAGTAGTCCGCGCAGTCCATTAGGAATATGACCTAGGGAGAAATGATCACACCCAGGGAGCGTTAATAAGCAGCCAAGAGGCCCAAACGGTGGTCAGAACACTTAGAGAAGGGAAGATCACATTCCCCTTTGAGGGAATCAGGGAAGGTTCTGAGGAGGAAGTGGTTAAACTAAGCCTGAAGAGCAGGTTGGGTTTTCAAAGGTCTGGTGGTGGTGATGATGGTGATGATGGTAAAGATGATGAGTAACTTTGGAGGACTTTTATGTGCCAGTCACGGGGTAAAACTTTGCATGGATTAACTCCCAACAACCCCAGGGGGAAGTTATTGCCCCCATTTTTCAGCTGGAAACTGAGACACTGAGGGGCGATGTATTTACCTGAGGTCAACAGTTAGTGGGCGGCAGAACCAGGATTTGAACGTGTGCTGTCTGAACCCAAAGCCTTGGGTTCAAGGGACCCTTGGAACAGCCCATGAGTTAAATTGGTACCCTTTTGGCTCTGCTGGGTGCTTGAGATAATGATACTAGTGATAGCTAGCACTTGAGAATTCACTCAAGGCATTATTGTATCTAATCACTGTAGGTACTGTGCTCACCCCCACTTTATAGGTGAGGAAAATGAGGCTTAGTGAGGTTGTGAAACTTGCCCAAGGTCCCACAGTAGATAGAGATAACGCAATTGTTGGACTATAAGCTCCTGGAGCCCAAGGGCTGTGTGTTTAACCTAACATGGCACCAGAGTATATACTTATTAAGTGAATGAATGAATGAATGCAACAGTTCATTGAATCCTCCCCCTTTAATGCTTCCTTCTTCATAGAGTTATTGTAAGGATTAAATTAGGTGATAAAACACTGAATACAATTTTTGGCACAAGATAAGAGCTCAGGAAGAGCTACCTGCTCCTATGATTATGCTTGCGATTCTCCGCTTCCTATTAAAACCTTTTCCTGCTGCTTCTTCTCTGTCTCCCCAGGCTCAGAAGTTCAGCTTCTCGAGTATGAGGCCTCGGCTGCTGGCCTCATCCGATCCTTCTCCGAGCGCTTCCCAGAGGATGGGCCCGAGTTGGAGGAGGTCCTCACCCAGCTGGCCACAGCTGATGCCCGGTTCTGGAAGTCCCCCAGTGAGGCCCCATCTGGCCAGGCTTGAGACAGATTTATGCAGCTCCTCCCCCAGCTCCATCACACCAGGGCTGCAAGTGGCCGCCCCCCTCCTGCGTGTGCCAGGGGAGGAGCGGGAGCTCGGACCTTGGTGCTACCTCAGCCGAGGGCGGTGACACTAACCCCTTCCATTTGTCGGCACTTTCCAATTTACCGAGTGCTTCTCCTGTGTTATCTCATTTGATCCGCTCTGCCCTTGGTAGAGTGGGCAAGGCCCGGCTCCTTATCCTGCTTCCCAGGTAAGGGAATGGAAGTTCTGAGAAGTGACCTATCTAGATGTGACAGGACTCAAAGCCTCTCCCAATCCAGTGCTCATCATGTATTACTTTTATAACCAGAAAATAAACATAAGAAATCACCACCATCTTTGCGATTTGTGTGAATCCTTGCCTTTGCCACACTTCTCATTTGCTCCCAGCAGGGTAATGGGGAAGGGAAGGAAGGTCAGTTTTAGGTTCCCCTCCACGGCAGGATTTTGGTATCACCTCTAAACAACGAGGCACGGCCACAAGGAGGAACGTGGCACAATTTTTACAGTCCTCCTTTGTGGCATTTCCTGTATTTTAAAATATTCCAGGAACCTAAAAACTGGAAACTCTCAATCTCAGTCCCAGGATTTAATCTCTTAACCCTGTGCTTTGTTTCTCTGAGCCCAGACCTCTAGAATAAGATGGGAAGAAAGGACATGGCCCCTTTTCCACCGGGTTAACCATGAGGAGGAAGAGGGTGTAGTATTAGTTTTGCTCCTCAGAAACACTAGAAAGGCTGCTCTCCAGGCCAGAGGGTCCTGCCAGTAATCCAGAGATCGCAGGGCCCAGAGGTTCCGGCTGGGAAGGAGCAAAGATAAATCCTACGAGCTGGGATGAGGGATTGCGCCTCGGCAGGCAGAAACCCAACTAAGGCCAGCGTATCCTGCGTGGTGGCCTGTTGGCCCTGGGCCGGAAGGCCGAGCGCCCGGAACCTTTGTACGCGCTCTTCCAGCACGCGTCCCAGAGCCCGGGCTCTTTTCGGCGTTGCGCAGCCGCTGGCCGGAGCCGGTTGCCACGGCGACGCCTGCAAAGATGGCTGCTGCGTCTTCGTCGGATTCCGACAGCGGCAGAGCTGAGAGGTGAAGGCCGCGGTCCTCGAGCCCTCCTTTCCTACAGATGTAAAGAGGGGGGCTTGGCCCCGGGATCTGGGCTCCTGCGCTTCTCAGAAAGCGCTGGCAGTCCTTGAAGGGATCTGCGGGTTCAAACAGGGAAACTGAGGCCCAAGGAGTGAATGAATGTGCGTGTGCGAGTGACTCTAGGTCACTCAGTGAGCTTATGGTGGAGCCTGGACTTGGCCCCAGACGTCTGTACCCCTATTTCAGAGCCCCCTACACACCCCACTCTCAGAGACTAGCCCCCGCACAGTTTTCTTCCCCTCCCTTGGGACTCAGCCGCCAACTCTTCGCTTCTCTGCCAGCAATGAGGCCAGTTCGAAATGGCTGGACGCACACTACGACCCCATGGCCAACATCCACACCTTTTCCTCCTGCCTGGGTAAGTCTCTGGGACCAGGAGATGGAGTCAAATGACGGTTCTGTAGCGAAGTCTCAAGGATTGGGAAACCCTGGCTCATGGCCCTTTTGTGTTTTCCAGCGCTGGCAGATGTGCATGGGGATGGGGAGTACAAGGTAAGCATATCACCCGGCAGAAAGAGAATTGGGGCGCGGGGAAGCATCAGAAGGGAGATTTCCTGATGGCGCCAAAGGAGTTCAGCATCGTCTGGAACCCACGCGTACCCTGAAAAAGTACATTTAGTGTTGTTGGGTTTTTTAATTTATTTATTTGACAGAGAGAGAGCGCAAGTAGGCAGAGCGGCAGGCAGAGGGAGAGGGAGAAGCAGGCTTCCCGCTGAGCAGGGAGCCCGATGCGGGGCTCGATCCCAGGACCCCGGGATCATGATCTGAGCCGAAGGCAGACGCTTAACGACTGAGCCACCCAGGCGCCCCTAAATTTTACTTTTATGTGGATGGTGAAGAGAACCTGTTGATTCTGTAATACAGACTGCAGAAAGGAAAGCAGAACAAATGCTGCTGGGGATTCTACTAAGACAAAGCCTCTTAATTTTGTTAACTTGTAATTCTTTGCTGGAAGGACACATCCCTTGGTGGGGGCGGGGCGGGCGGGGCGGGGCATTGGAATCTGGAGAGAAAGTAGAAGAGAGGGAAGTGAAAGTTTTATGTTTATTAAAAGAGCATAGATTTGGGCGCCTGGGTGGCTCAGTTGGTTAAGCGACTGCCTTCGGCTCAGGTCATGATCCTGGGGTCCCGGGATCGAGTCCCGCATCGGGCTCCTTGCTCAGCGAGGAGTCTGCTTCTCCCTCTGACCCTCCCCCCCGCTCATGCTCTCTCTCTCTCATTCTCTCTCTCAAGTAAATAAAATCTTTAAGAACAAAACAAAACAGGGTGCCTGGGTGGCTCAGTTGGTTAAGCAACTGCCTTCGGCTCAGGTCATGATCCTGGAGTCCCTGGATCGAGTCCCGCATCGGGCTCCCTGCTCGGCAGGGAGTCTGCTTCTCCCTCTGACCCTCCCCCCTCTCATGCTCTCTCTCATTCTCTCTCTCAAATAAATAAATAAAATCTTTAAAAAAAAAAAAAAAGAGCATAGATTTTAAGATTTAAGATTAGCCCTGAAGCTAATCTTCATTGTTGGATGGCAGGTATTTGGAGGTTCATTATATGAATCTCTCTGCTTTTGTATATGACTGAAACGTTCCATAATAAAAAGGTTGAATTTTAAGTTTAAAACATAAAGATAAATAAAATGTAAATTAATTAATTAATTTAAAAATTAAAGGTACAGGTTTTTAAAAGATCGAGAAATATTTTGGGCTTACAGAAAGGAAATTAAACCTATATTTAGTGTCCATTTCTGGGCTAGACCCTCTTTGAGCATTTTCACACAGATATTATTACCAATTTGTTAATGGGAAAATAGATTCAGAGAGGATGAGTAAGCTTAGTAAATTTGTAAAAAGTGGCAGACCTGGGCCTGTCACATTCCCAGTCATGTGTTTGTTCCACTGTTGCTCAGCCGTGGGCAGTGAACCCACAGTGGGCCTGCTATTTGGGCCATTAGAAGATAGCTCTGGAATCATACCCTTCGTGGTGAGTACAGTAGAATTCAGTGGACTTTTGACTCCAAATTCCTGTCCATAGAGCATTCTGCAATTTGGCAAGTGTACAGCGAACCCCTACTGTGTGTCAGGCATTGTACCGACACGAAACTAAGAAATGAATCAGTACACAGTCGGGAGGAGACCCTGGCCTTAGTTTATCATTTATCCATGATATCACTGAATACCTAGTGTGTGCTTGGCAGTTAAAGGTATAGAGATCACAGCCTCAATAACTAGCATGAAATATAAGATGCTTTTGTGTAATCATTTCTTTAATGGCTAGTTTGTTGATTCCCAGCATCTAGCCCAGTGCCTGGCACAAATTAGGTAGTCAGTAAATATTTGTGGAGTAAATGAGTGGATGCTAAAATCGAATATATGAAAAGTATGGGAGCAGCAGGGAGAGAATGGTGAGATCTATCTGGACGTACCAGGAGGCAGTAATACGTGAACTGGGTATTGAAGGATGAATGAAATGTATCAAGAAGGTACAGAGGGAAGGAGGGGGAAGGCATTCTAGTCAGAGGGAACAGCGCAAGTGGAGGCGCAGAGGCTTAGAAGTTTGTAGCATATTTGGAAAGAGTAATTTGGAGTTAGAAAGTGAAAACCAATAGAAAATAGTAGTTAGGACCACTGGCTTGGATTCAGATAAACCTAGATTCCAGTCCCATCTCCCCAACTTACTTGAATGACTCTTATCTAACATCTCTGAGCACAGCTTCACCATCTGTGAAATGGGGCTAATAATAGTACCTGTCTCATAAATTGTTGAAAGGATGCATGTAGTTCCTGGTGTGGCTGCTGGTACACTGTGCATCCTCAGAATCCAGACATTCTGTGGCAGCCCCCATTCTGGCTGGAGCATAGCATGGATGGGAAGGTGATGGAAAACAAGCTGGAGACCAGATCAGAGAGACCTTGAAAGCCTCACGCAAGAGAATGGGCTTGCATGGCAGCCACAGTGGCTTGGAGGATGGATTAGAGGGCGGAAAAGAGAGACTGAGGAGCTTGATTCTCCTCTCTGTCCACAGATCACATCCCAATCTGCATGCATGCGTGTGCTTCTTTAGCTCTGTTCCCATTTGGAAGCCAGGCCTCAGAGGCCCAGATAGGAGTTTCTGGCACCCCACTGACTTCAGCCACTCTCCACTGTACAGAATAGTGCCTGGCATGGAGCAGACTCTGAAGAAATGTTTACTGAATGAATAATGAAAACATCATCTGCCACGTAGTCCTCACTAGCACTCACCAGGTTCCGTAATTCATTACCTCATTTGAGTTTCACTACAAGTGCCATGAGGTAGATATTCCCATTTTGTGGGTGGAAGACTGAGGGTCAGCAAGTTTAATCAACTTTCCCAAGGTCACACATCTTGCAAGCCTTATTACAAAGCCTTATTACTTGGTGCACCAGTGTGGCAGTGAATGAATGTGCACTAGTGAAAAGGAGTCAGTGGAGGGGTCTTTAGACCTTGAGCCTGGAATAAGCCAGCCTCTTTCTACAGCTGGTGGTGGGGGACCTTGGCCCCGGTGGGCAGCATCCCCGCCTGAAGGTGCTCAAAGGACCCACAGTGCTGACTGAAAGTCCCTTACCTGCACTGCCAGCTGCCGCCGCCACCTTCCTCATGGAGCAGCACGAGCCCCGGACACCAGCTCTAGCACTCGCTTCAGGCCCTTGTGTGTATGTGTATAAGAATCTTAGGCCCTACTTCAAGTTCAGCCTGCCCCAGTTGCCTCCAAACCCCCTGGAACAAGAACTTTGGAACCAGGCCAAGGAGGTAAGTGATGTCGGGGATGGGAATAAGAAGGCAAAAATGGCGGCCACTGAGTCATCCTCATTCCCTGCCTGACTGTGGAGCTCACAGGCTTACCTTTTTTCCTTGCTGTCATAGGACCGGATTGACCCCTTGACCCTGAAGGAGATGCTGGAAGGCATCAGGTGAGAACCCACTTATCCCTTCGTATGCTTCCCACCCCTCCTTCAATCCTCCAGCCCCTCTTCTTCAGCCCATGCTCTCCGTCTGACCCCCAGGGTCCTGTTCCTCAACTAAATCTGCCATGATTGCCCCTCTCCTTTTAGGGAGAAGGCAGAGGTGCCTTTGTCTGTTCAGTCACTCAGGTAAGGGCCCTGTGGAGGGCCAGGGCTCCCGATGCTCCAGGGGGAAGGGAGTGGCTAAGGAGTGGCCTGTGGAGGGAAGTAGCCCAGGCCATGCAGAT